CTGGGAGTCTTGCCTATGAACGTTTAATGATACCGCTCAGTGTTTATTCCTGAACAGGGCCTAACTGCTGTTTTTAGTGCACCAGTATACTACATTTATCACCATATCCGAAAAAGAGATTCAATAGAATGTTAAATAATGCAACATTTCCTCTTTATGCAGGAAGCTGTTTTTGTCATTGCATGTGTCACTGTGCACCCTACGGCAGCCATAGTGATTTAAACCATTACAAAAACCTGCCGTTGAGACTGAAGTACTAATGAATTAAGACTAAGACTAATGAATTGAGCTGGAGATGTTACATTTGGTATACCAAAAAAAGAAATATCAGTACAAAGAAATTTACAATTTGATACATAAAGACAAGAAAATGGTAAAAATTTATTTTTATACCTACAAAACACATATTAGTACAAATGAATACACAATTTAATACACAAACACAAATATATAAAGAAAATTATACATGAACGTCGTATATGACTAGATAAGGACAAATTCTACAGTGAGTTCAACAGCTTGTGGGCCATCACCTTGTCCTTTATCTATCACATTCTTTTCTCTCACATCTTCAGCACTGTCCTCAGATATTTGGTGAATTTTAATTTTTATTTGTTTCTTTCTATTGTCAGCTCTTGGAACTTTGCTTTTAATCTCAGGCTTGTATTTGTTTTTCAGATGAAATCATGAGCAATCTTGCTGGCAGTTTCATTACCTGGAACATTTCCATAATTTAACAATTAGTTTGTATTTTTCAAAACTGAATATTTTCTGTAAATTTACTGCTAAAATGTGGTGTACTGTTTAAAAACAGTACACCACATAGGTTGAAAAATCCTTTAAAAACAGAACATATATATTAATTTATTATTAAATAAATTACACTTTTGTATGCCTTATTTTATAATATAATTTAATGGTAAACACGCATAGCTTTTGAGATCATTAAAAAATCACAATGTAGCATCTAAATGTAATATCCAAAACCATAATAACATTTTTTCAGTAAGCTATGTAGCGTGTCCACCCTTTGCCTTTATTACAGCATCCATTCTTTTCAGGAAACTTGGAAGTATTTCTTCCACATTTTTCCACAACTCTAAACTCTGTAGTACAGTGTTATATTCTCTTTACTTCTATCAAAGTTATTTCACCTTATCTTAAATTATTAGTGAGCATATTACTTATGAAACTGTAACAACGTATTTCTCTATTTGGGATGTAATGAACACTCTAAACTGTGATATCTCTGACTACAGGCTCAATAATAATGAGCACTGTTTCAGTTTTGGGCAACAACTTTTCTTCTACACTCCATACATGCTGTAAAATCAGGTGCTGAAGTCAGAGATCTTTCAGGAAACTTCATACATGGATCTGTTCTGCTACAGTAAACACAAACAGGAAGTGAAACAGAGCCTGAAAAGCAAGACGCTCACACCTGCTAAGTTCTGATCAACTGAAAGAACAGAAAAGAAAGAAAACAGGGAAAAAGTGAATGATCTTTCTAGGACGTTCAGATAAATATAAGCAAACTTATTAGTTTTAATTTAGAAAAGTAAATGTAAAAATGACAAATATAATACTGAACACAGATGTACTACCACAACACGTACGAACCTATTTGCACAAAAGAGAAGGTGGTATTTATGTACATAAGGAATAATATTGTAGGTAAGCCTATTACACATGTTCTTTTTCATGTACTGCAGTCCCTATCAGTGTTTGTGTAATCCAGTGTGTGTGTACACTGCTGTCTAAATGAGTTTTAAAATTTTCATCATGCTATAGAAGTAGAGGAATGTGGACCTGGGAGTTTTGCCCAATAACTTTTATTGATATTGTACATTGTTTATTCCTGTGGTTATTAAACCGCAGCCTCAAGCGCACAGGCCAGTAGTGTTATCCACTATGCTGTACGTATCACCATGTCCTAAAGAGAGACTCAATAGAATGTTAAATAATGCATGAACATCATGGTTTCCATGTCATTAGACTGAATATAGAGCTGCAGTTATTCTTGGTGTAGGAAGTTGTTTTTGTCAGTGCATGTGTCACTGTGTACGTGGGCTGGGAGGTCACGCCATTACAAAAACCTACTTATAAGACTGAAGAACTACAGACTAATGAATTGTGCTTGAATTTTTATATTTGTTACTGGAGCATACCAGTGAGAATGATCCGCCACCCAAATAGTTCCTGCTCTGTGAGGGTCCATGGGGTTCCTGACCACTGAAGAACAGAGTTAAAGGGGGCTAACAAAGTATGCAGAGAAACAGATGGACTACAGTCTGTAATTGTAGAACTACAAAGTGCACCTATGCAGTAAGTGGAGCTGATAAAATAGACAATGAGTGTAGAAACAAGGAAGTGGTCATAATGTTATGCCTGACCCATATATATATATGGATTAGACTCTAAATATATATGCACAATATACACATTAGTATACACCAGGAGGAGAAGCACAGAGCATACTGACTAAGCATTATGAAATATCAATGATGATGGCAAATATTTGTTTGATTTATGTTTAAGTAGTTTAGTATATGTTTTTGAGTGTAGTTTAACACTGTACACTATGCAGTAGACTCAAAGAGTATTGACTTGTGGACTTGTGGTGTAACAACATTTCACAACTCATCCAACTGACTTCATTGTTTGAAATGTATCCAGAGTATTCCCCTGTGTTTAGACTCATTCACACCCATGATGTGAATGATGCAGCTGTTTCCTGGTGAAGCTTTAGCGCATCTCTACATTCCACAAGTCTGAAGCTGTAAAGTAACTGAAACTATATTTACCAGAATAACTGACACCCTCAGTCCAAGGATAAAATTACCTTTGTAATATATATTATTTGTTACCTAATTCTTATGTTGATTTAGTTTAGTTTAGTTGCTTGAAACTTGCAAGAAACTATATTTCACTTGAGTTGCTGCATGTTAAATGGCTGTTATAGCATAGTGGGTAACATGTCTACCCCACAGACTAGACTGCGATTCCCTGCTTAGGCAAGCATACCATGCTATACCAATAGAGTCCTTTGTAAAGACTCTAATGCTGCATTCTCTTACTTCTGTCACATGATAACATTGTAAATGGCTCTTGAGAACAAGCAATTGGCAAAGTGTAAGTGTATAATTATGTAAATGTAAAGAATCCTCAGACAAAACAGTTGCAAGCTTCTCAACTTCATGAAATAATTTTCATGAAACAGCCAGTCAAAACAGTGATAATGCATCCTTTAATCATGTAATAGCATATCATTTTAAGTAACTCATTTCACTGTATTAATAGGCAAAAATAAAAAATAAAACAAGATCCAGTGGACATTTGAGAAAATGAGATCCTCCTGATCTCATCTCTTAGGTTTTTATGGTTACTGGTATTGTTTCTTCAACTTAGTAACACAAAACTGCCCCCCACCCCCACCTTGGACTCTCAGACCACACCAGTGTGATGTTGTTTTTATAAATCCCCATATCACTGCTGGACTGAGAATAGTCCACCAACGAAAAGTATCCAGCCAACAGCATCCTGTGGGCAGGATCCTGTGGGCAGCGCCCTGTGGGTGGTATCTACAAGGACTAAAATGTAGAACTGACTAATAGAGTGGACAGTGAGTGGACACAGTGTTTAAAAACTCCAGCAGCACTGCTCTGTCTGATCCACTCATACCAGCCCAACACACACACAGTGTTACTGCAGTGCTGAGAATGATTCACCACCTTAATAATACCTGCTCTGTGGTGGTCCTGTGGGGGTCCAAACCTTTGAGGAAGAGGGTAAATGGGGGCTAACAAAGTATGCAGAGAAACAGATGGACTACAGTCTGTAATTGTAGAACTATATATGCTCCTATATGGTAAAGTGGAGCTGATAAAATGGACAATAGTGTAGATACAAGGAGGTGGTTTTAATATTATTGGTGTATAAGCAATATGTCTGCAGGTAAAACTGTTCAACTGAGGACACCATAACTACTGCCATCCACTTGACCTTATTACACTTGGACTATAAGAACACTAAGGACTATAACATTGGACTGCAAACATAGGGCATTCATAAAGTACTGCTTGGGTAGGCTCATGTCAGTTTCCTCTCTTTTAATGATGCACTCCATGCAAAAACCTTTTGGAAACTACCCGTAAAAGCTTCTGTAGTCATCAAATGCCAAGATATGCATGGATTGCCCATTGGAAACATTTTGCATGGTCAGAATAACAAAAATAGAACTTTTTGTGCAGAATCTCCAGCCTGCTAAACGTGAGTATACTGGTTACAAGCCAAATTCCAGAAGTAATAAGCAACACTCAAGAGTCAAGTATGAACCCAGCAATTCAACTTTTTGACAAATTTCCACCCTTGCAAGCATCATCATGTAAATTATTGAAAACAAATTAGAAAGACAACAACAAAATATTTAAAAAAAAAATCATGTGAAGTCAAATTGACCTATACATGGATAAAAGCATGCAGTGATGGAAGGTCCATCAAATAACAGTTTGCTCAGTTTGGTGTAGAAGAACTCAAATGACTCACACAGAGTCAAACCCCATCCAACACATCCAGAATGTTAGCTGTGTTGCTAAGCAATTCACATTTTATTCTAACTTGCTGCTAGGATGTTGCCAGGTGGTTGATATGGTGTCCCAGGAAGTTGCTATGGTGTTACAGGTGTACTTGTATAATTGTGACATGCGTGTAAAATGACTGCAATGGAATATGAAATTTATATAAAAAGAATATTTCACTTTCAAGATGGTGATTGTTCCTCCTTTCAAATTTGTCTGAACGAACACTGTACGAAATCGTACGTTGTGAATATCGTAGAATAATCATTTTAAAAGCCGACTTTATGACAATATTAACTGATGACATTCTCTAACTGATGATTTTGGTAAGTTAAGCTAACACCTGTCTGCTTCATCACCGTTAGATTCCACATCATTGAAAATTCCACATTTCTGCATAGTTTTTGCTCGGTTGCTCCGCAGTATCAACCAACGTGCTATGGCTACTTTGACTACTGGGGGAAAGGAACGCAGGTCACCGTTACCTCTGGTAAGTATGTCTGGTACATCATATTTCTGCGTGAACAGGCTATAACGAACTACAATGCTGCGCTAGTCCACCAAAAAACTATTGTTCTACGAGAAACTTCGTCTTGGGGCGTTATTGTACAGCGAATTGGTCAGTTACTCACAGTGATGTCTACTTTGACTACTGGGGAAAAGGAACATCGGTGACCGTGACTTCAGGTAAGACCGTTAGAAATAATTAGAAACAGACGCTACACGTTTAAACGTTCAAACTGCTTTATTTTGCGCAATAATTGTACAGTTATATGTGATATTAGGCGAAGATCGGGACTCTGTTGTATGAGCTTATTGTGCGGGTAATGCTGGGTAGTTTTCCACTGTGACGAGGCTTTTGCCTACTGGGGAAAAGGAACAATGGTGACCGTGAGTTCAGGTAAGAAGGCACTTTTATTAGAAACAGACAATAAACGGCAAAATCAATAAATCAGAATTCTATTTCTTTGCGCCAAAACGCAAAGCTGTAGTCTACTTTAGTCAATGCGCTGCAGCTCTATAGAACAGTATATTGTGCGGGCAGTGCGGGATAGTTTGTCACTGTGACTACGCTTTTGACTACTGGGGAAAAGGAACAATGGTGACCGTGAGTTCAGGTAAGAAATGATCCAAATCGCTAATAATTCAATCTTGTAATTTTGCGACTATCGCACTTTAAATGTTTAAGCCTAGTTTGTCCGTCTTCGCTTTAAAATGCAGTCAAAACGATATATTAAAATGAAGTTCAGTGACTGAAGTGTGTTTAACGTGATACTCAGTCAACTTGAATTGAAATTACAACAAAAAATACGTATCAGAACATTAAACTATTAAAAATGAAACGCTCTGAAGACCAACATAGGTCAGCATTAAGGATGTTTTTTGTTACGCCAGTGTTATTTGTTGTATTTAATTTCGCTGTGTGCAGGCTTCTTTTTGGTTCGCTAGCAAAAAAATAATTCTACTTCATTCCATACCGTGAATGTTATTCGCATTAAATATTAATGTAAGTAGAATATTTGAAGGTTATCAGATCGTGATAGATGATCAGGCGTTATCGAGTCTTTTTGCTCGATGTTAGAGTTGTTGTCTGTCACTGTGACGGTCGTTTTGACTACTGGGGTAAAGGGACCTCAGTGACCGTGACCTCAGGTAAGAAATAAACTGATCCGAATTCCATTAAACGCTAATATGTCAACTTTGCAATTTTGGCAACTTTACAACAATCGCACGTTAAACTAGTTAAGAATGAAACGCTCTGAAGATGAATCAGCAGCATTACGGTCTTCATAAAGATGCTGCTGATATTCATTTTCGTATTTAATATACTATCTGTGAGCAGACTCCTTTCAGGATCGTTCATTAATAACTTCTACTTCATTTAATACAGTGAATGGAAGTTCTGAGCGTGTAATGTTAATGTAAGTATAAAACATTCGAACCTAATCATATCGTGATAGATGATGAGGCGTTGTTCAGTGTTTGTGCTCGATGTTAGAGTTGTTGTCTGTCACTGTGACGGTGCTTTTGACTACTGGGGTAAAGGAACGATGGTCACCGTCTCATCTGGTAAGAAAACATCTTATTCATTCCGTTCAGCAAAAATGTAGATTCATTATTTTAAATATCATCACTTGCTGTATTATATTTATAAGATGAGCCAAAAGCTAGCCTGACCAATGTGGAAAGGCACAAAGGGAACGAAAACGTTTAGTTTTGTAGTTGTACTTGTCGCCAAATCGTCATTTTTCCATAAATCAATATTCTTGTCAGATGGTCTTAGGTTTCCACATTTAGTAGGCCACATGAAATAGATCGTCTATTTTTTCCTTGCGTCGCCTAAAATTTTCTTGCCAGACGGTTATTATGAAAAATACATCTCTGAATGTGGCAAAGCAGCTCAGTTCACTGTTACCTCTCGGAAGTAAGTCCAGTTTATCATTTCTCTGCGTTAATAGACCTATTGCACTAAATCAGTTAATCAACGCCTTAATCAAGAATTCATTTCGATGCGGGAGCAATAATGTATGAAAAGACTGCACTAGTCCACCAAAAAAGATATTATCCTGCGAGAAACTACGATCTCTGCACGTTTTTGCACAGTGAATTGGTTAGTTTATTCACAGTGATTACTACTTTGACTACTGGGGAAAAGGAACCTCGGTGACCGTCTCTTCAGGTAAGAGCGAATTCAGTAGAAACAGACGCTACACGTCTAAATCACAGCTTTTAAACTGCTTTATTTTGTGCAAGAAACGCACAGTTATATGGGACATTAGGCAAAGCTCGGAACTTTGCTGTATGCGCTTATTGTGCGGGTAATGCTGGGTAGTTTGTCACTGTGACTGGGCTTTTGACTACTGGGGAAAAGGAACCTCGGTGACCGTGACTTCAGGTAAGAAATGATCCAAATCGCTAACAATCCAATCTTGTAATTTTGCGACTATCGCACTTTAAATGTTTAAGCCTAGTTTGTCAGTCTTCGCTTTAAAATGCAGTCAAAACGATACATTAATATGAAGATCAGTGACTGTGTTTAACGTGAACTACAACTCAAATTACAACTAAGAAATTCAATAAACATATTAGTACAGTAAACTATTAAAAATGAAACGCTCTGAAGATCAACACAGATCAGCATTACGGTCCTCATAAAGATGTTTTTGTATCGCTGGTGTTATTTATTGTATATAATATCGCTGAGCCCAGGCTTCTTTCTGGTTCGTTCGCAAAAAAAAGTTTAATTAATTATTAATAATTATACAGTTAAAGTTATTAAAAAATGAACCGTCTTAAGATCAACACAGATCAGCATTACGGTCCTTATAAAATGATTTTGTAACGCTGGGGTTAACTTCTGCTTCATTTCATAGAGTGAATGAAAGTTACTCGCATTAAATATTAATGTAAGTGTAGAATATTTGAACCTAATCAGATCGTGATAGATGATCAGGCGTTGTCGAGTGTTTGTGTTCGATGTTAGAATAGTGATCAGTCAATGTGACGGTGCTTTTGACTACTGGGGTAAAGGAACGATGGTCACCGTCTCATCTGGTAAGAAAACATCTTATTCATTCCGTACAGCAAAATTGTAGATTCATTCATTATTTCGATGTTTTTAAAAGGTTATTGATTCTTTAAACTGCCGCTGCGCTGCAAAATGTTTTTAACTGAAACGATATGATCAAATGTGTCGTGTTTGCACATGAATAACATGTAGTACACGAATTGCATAAAATGCCAAACAAGCTAATTTAAAGAAAGCAGTTGTGTTGCTGTAACATGTTTCTTTATGTGCAACCACTTTACGCAATAATATGATTTTTTTTTTAAGTGTGCGTATTTTATTTTTAGAACGAACATAAATGTAGACCGACCAGAGTGCAAACAGAAAACTAAACTAAGACTTTCTAGATTTAGTATATTGTAACTCTACTGATGGGAGCAGTGCGGTAAAATGATCCTTAAATCAAACTTACTAATGTTGAAAAACAAAAAAGAAAAATATTCATAATAACGCCGCTTAAAAAGCCGCTCGTTCACGCCTCGCTATGTGCTGCTTTTGGGAATATTATATTGTTAAATATCAGCCTAAACCTACAGGGACTGATAAAAAGGCCTCAGGTTATCTAAAATTTTACATAACTGATTGTTTTTCGTCCGACGGTCTAATTTTTTTTTTATATAAATGATGTAAATTTTGTGTTTAGGCGGTTGAAGGCTTTCTGTAGTCTATATATATCGACTACAGAAAGCCTTAAACTTCACATATATATATATATATATATATATATATATATATATATATATATATATATATATATATATATATTATAGTCATTTTTTTTTCTTATTTGATGGTTAGTCCTGTAAACATTTTCTTTTCCTATGAATGCCAACAGACTACTATTCAAAATATTAATAATATATGATATTTTTTATTATATTTTTTCAACCAGCCCCGAACCTTCTCGCGTTACACAGGGGCACGTTCTCCCACTTCTTACAAGAAAGGGAATGTGCCTGAGTGCGCGAAATTTCTTTTAAAAAGGCAAATCTGCTCCACTGTAAAACAAAACAAAACAAAACAAAAAACAACAAAGTCATTTTAACGTGAGAAAATAGTGAGTAAACTGGTGGTTTTAAATGTTAAAGTTCATTGAACCTCTAATAGTCAGTTAACAGAAACGTTACTGTGTGTTATTTTCTCTGAACTCATTATTTGTAGTTCAGTCATATTGAAAAGTTTAAGGCAGCAGGTCACTTATTTTATTTTACTAACTCCAAATTAGTTTTTACAGTCTGCATAAAATTCACCGATTTAAATCCAGCCCAACCCGAGCAGCTGCTGTCCGGGAAAAACATGTTTATCTGATATTCAGTCGGGCTCGGGTCGCCCTGCTGACCTCGAACAATGTTTATCAGGACACTAAATGACCCGGATGGAATGCGCTGTTTCAGCGGATCTTTAATGTTTCAAATGTTGTTTCTTGTTTAATTTTAGGCCAGAAAAGTTTTACTGAATGACTGTTCAGTTTTTAAAATGTATAAAAACTGTAGATGAACTGTTCCTCTGTTAGCAGGACATCAGAGAGGAGAGTGTAGAATAGACTGATGTGGAGAGAGAAAATGAGCAGAGCACTTCAATAAAGTCATTATTGGGGAAAAATTGCGGTTTAGACACATTTTTAATTTTCTGTTACAAACAGTGATTCATTCTTTTCATTTTCTTTTTTATGATTGTGTTTATAAGACACGCCAAACAGCACTGCTGTTGTTGATGTGTGAATCATCACATTAAATAAAAAAGTAGCAGCTGCACATTTTACAGGTTCACTAAAAAATTCTGGGGGGCGATTCCCAAAACAGTTCTACAATGAACTGGACTGACCCCCGGATTTTTACATGTCCAGAAAACAGCGCTGTATATATTTACATGGTGTGATGATTGGGTTGCCCAAACTTTTGCATATGACACGCATAACTAATAACTAATGATATCTTTTTATGCAGTGTTTGCATTTCTTATAATATCTGTTTTGCGTTTTAATGTTAGTTTCTAACATAAAGATCAGTCGTCAGGATTGAGTGAGCGGGTAAAAGACCTAAATCTAAAATAGCTCTGCTGTTTTATTGCACTATTGTAAATGTACCATTAGATTCGGACAGATTCGCTTGTAGCGTCCGAAAACCACATCCTAGCTCCATTTTCTGCAAAATCACTTTTAAAGACTAAATTTCTGGATCTTAAAGATGTTGGACTGACGACGATTTTTAAACGAAACAATTGAAATATATTACATTCAGTTTTTACAAGACATATTCATATTTATTTTGCCTTCACCTAATTTAAAATGCTTATTGTCACTGGGTTATGAATGTATGTATGTATGTATGTATGTATACTACTTTTTAGTACGTTAACAAAAGCATTTTTTGTGTGTGTGTTTTACAGGTACTCCGACCCCTCCCAAATCTCTCTTCAGTGTGTCTGCGTGCGCCCCCTCCTCTGATGGCTTCCTCACTGTCGGCTGCGTCGCGAGCGGTTTCTCTCCCGCCGAGCCGCTCAAGTTCAAGTGGACCGGCGGCGTCACTGACATGGTGCAGTACCCGGCTGTACAGCAGGGTGGCACCTATACAGCGGTGAGCCACGGGCGCGTCAAGGCCACTGACTGGGACGCGGAGAAGCCGTTCACGTGTCAGGCTGAACATCCGGGAAGTTCAACACCCACTAAGAGCACCTTGCAAAAGCAAAGTAGGTGCATGTAGGGGTCAGAGATCAGCACTGTATGGACACAAGTGTTTCAATCGCCGCGGTCAAATGTTTTGTTGATAGTCTAAGTGAAACTAAGTGAACACATAACACACTCAAATATGACATTTCTGCAAATTTTAATGCATCATTTTGCTCAATTTTTTTCTTTCAACAGTTAAAATATTTTGTATGATCAAAACGCTTTATTTACTATTAAAAAATAGACTAGTGTCCTTCCATTTTTATTGCGGCATCAAATGGTTCCTCTCTCGCTCTCTTTTCTACTGAGAGAGAAACAGCAACCTAAAGATCTAATCTCACACAACAAGTCATTCTTACTCTAACTTTAGCTAGATTGTGACATTACTTAAGAGCAAAGCTTTTTTTTACAACTTTTTTTTCTTATCTTCCCTAGGACCTTCAGTACAAACACCACCACCACCACCTGAGATCATCACAGCACCACCACAGCGAACTCCTAGTACTTGCCAATTTGTCAAGTTTTATAACACAAAAAATCTATTTGGTTTAAACATCATGACTTTCACAAACATTAAGTAATTTCCAGTGAAATATTGATTTTTCACAGTTATGGTTTATTGTTATTACATGACCCTTTTGCTTAATTTTACACATATCATCAATCAGAATGTAAATAATTTTAATTAATTGTTTATAATCAAAAACAATAAATACTTCTGTAGATTTGATATTATTTGTTGTTTTAACCTAAAAACAGCATAAATAACTTGTTAACTGTTAAGATGTGAGGAAGAGAAAGATGCAAATCTGCATTTATTAAAATTGGAGGTTCTAAATTGGTTGAACACATGAAATTGAGTACAGATGACCACAAAGCAGCTGCTGAGCAAACTCAAAAATCAAAATAAATCATGTTGCCTTGAAATTTTGAGCTCACAACAGTTAAAATCTGTGGTATAATCAAGCACAGGGTTTTATTCACTATTTAAAATAGAATGCTGCTATTTTTGTTGGGGCATCAAGTGGTTCCTTTGTCTTGTCCACTGAGTGAAAGTAAAAGCAAGCCAAAGATCTCATCTTACACAAATAGGTCATTCTAACTCTCTAACTTTAGCTAGATTGTGACATTACCCAAGAGAACAACTTTTTTTTTTACTCTATTTTCTCTAGAACCGACTCAACCAAGACAACCTGACCCTGTCACAGTTCCACCTCGGCGAACTTCTAGCCAAGGTATTTTGCAAACTTTTTATATGTTTGTCATAAAGAAAAGGAATGTTTCTTTTTGGTTTATACATCATGATTTAATAGTATTGGACATGTTTTACAAATGGCAAAAGTCAGGGCTGCCTGAAAAAAAAAAAGTAATCTACAGTGAAAATCTCATCTTTTCACATTTATGGTGTATCAGTTGTTACAATATGGCCATTTTCCTTGATTTTACACATGCAGTCAATCATAACATAAATAATTTTGATTAATAGTTAATAATCAACAATAGTAAATACTTTTGTAGTCTGCAATTTTAACAGAGAGGGTTACACAACACAACATCTAAGCAGTGATAGTCTTTTTCAAAAGCCTGCTATTGGTGTACATGCACTTTACTAAAATTTACAGAACCAGGTTAGTTGTCATTAAACAGTGTCTTGTTACCATTACTGATAATTGTCATAACAAATGTAATAATGTTTGATGTAATAACAGGTAACTGCAGCACAGAGGAAACATTACTAAGATACATTCATTGCATAAACACATCAAACATTTTAGCATCTGTCAGAACAATTACCGGTAATAATAACATGACACTGTTATATTACTGAAGAAAATCTGTCTTGACAACTCATGACAGGATATAACGTCTTCCATGACATGTTTCTGGCATGGTTATGTCAATGTTATGTAGCAGAGTTCAAGTAAAGTGTTACCCCTGTACCTTCTATTAGAGTAGGGAGTTGATATGGAGCTCTAGGCCAAGGTCTGCACTATACATCGTGTATCAATAATAAAGTACTGTTTGTTATCCTGCTGTACAAAACTGGAGATTACAACAGATTTAAAATTAGCCACATTGCTGTGAAAAAGTGAAGAAACACATGCAGAATAGATGACACAGCAGTGAATATTTCTGAAAGAATTTCCTGCAATAAGTGCAAGTTTTGAATTATTTATCCTTGGAGTTTAACAACAGTTAAATTAGGCAACTTATTTTTGTGCATCAATATGTACAGATATCAATACACAGTCAATTGATCTATAATTCTATTTAATTTTGCTTTTATTATGATTGATAATAATGTCTGGTTCTCTTTTTTATGTAGGTCAGCTCACTCTGAATATCAATCAACCTCAAGCAAAGGAACTTTTTGTAAACAGAAAAGCAGTAATCAAATGTGTCATAAGTGGTGATAATAGGAAGCAGGTGGAAGGAGCAACGGTGTCATGGACAGTTGGAGGGAGCCGACCAACTAGTGGCGTTCATGATGGTGGTGTTAAACAGGCAGGATCATCATTTACCAAAACTAGCACACTGACCCTTGAAGAGTCCGCCTGGTTTTCAGGTACAGAAGTGATTTGCTCCACCTCAAAAGACCAAAAGAATATTAGATATACAAAAGGAGGTGAGTCTTTTATTGCTGGAGTCAAATCTTCTTAGACCATATTAAAACACTTCTTCTGAAATGTTTTTTTTTTTTTCTTGTATCGTCTAATTTAAATATGATCTTTTCTCATGTAGACGAACCCCAGTCTCTTATCATTTACAAGCCTGATATGGCTGACACTGACAAGGTGTCCCTGATTTGTGAGGTTGGCAGCCCTGATCTCGGGGATGTCTACATCATGTGGCAAGTGAACAGTGGTCAGTACGCAGAAGGCAACAGCACAGCCACCTTCAAAAAGGACAGCACATCAATTGTCCTCAGCTACTTAACTGTGCCTGGAAAGGATTATGACAGTGCAGCATTCACTTGTGCAGCCAAAGTTGCCAACACGCCGAGTGACACCCAGCCGAAACAAGTCTCAACATCTAAGAGTAAAAACAATTGTCCCCCATGTCCTTCACCTGATTGTCGCTGAGCATCCTCTCAGACTGAGATGGTCAGGAAGCATCACTGCAGCTGTATCTGGCTGATTGAGATGCTTCCTCTAGTGCACCTGAATGGTCTGAGATGCTGTTTGTTGTGATGCCTTCTTTGTGTTTTGTATCTCTGTGTTTACTCTTTTTTGTGCTTTTTGTTTGCAGTACGTTGTTGCATGGGCCATGTTCTTAATCCCATCAGTCCTAAAATGCTGTTATTATTCACATGTTCACATGACTATTATGCAACACTGAAAATGATTGAAAAAAAAATATATAAAATCTGTCTTTATACATTACATCCTGGCCTCTGCATGTTTCACTGTGTTCTGTGTCTTGAATGGTCATTGTTCTGCTCTGTCTTTTGCTTTCTCTGTTTTTGTTCATGATCTGCTTGTGTTCAATGTTAAGTGCTCACATATGCGTAAAGCATTTAGATTAAATAAGATTAAATGCTATGAAATGTGTATGTAGAATTGTTAGTTGATCAGGATTGATCCTTGGAAATAAGAGCTTATTTTCACATTTGCATATATTACTATCATTATTATTATTGCAACATTTGAAACAATAAATCAGCATAATTGCATTTGACATAATATAATCATAATATAATCTTTCATTTAAAACAGTTTTATAAGCCTTGATTTCTCACTTAAATTCTTTTGTGATGGAAATCTTGCAACATAGAAGAATCCATTCATGTAACAATCCATATATGACTATGTAGATCAGCATTATTAGAGCAGTAAGAGAGGAGAGTAAATGGAAGGTTGTGAGCTTAGAGTGGGCAGGCTAGAGGAATTAGACAGCAAAATGACAAATTTCACTTGTATTCAATTCAATTTAACTTTGCCATTATACATATACAGGAGTCAGTACAATAACACATGTTCGGGCTACTTTTCTGGTGCATAAACATTAAGACAAGGACAGGAGTGCAGTTTGTTTTTAGAAAACATGAAAAAAACATTTTAGAACATTAAAATGTTCCATATTATCTGGTATCTGACCACACCAGCATTACTATGTCTCAGATCTGACACTCATGAACTAAACACACCAAATAAGCCAGTGTTTGTCTTGTACCGTTTTATATACTGTCATAGGCACTAGTCATAAACAACATTCAGTAACACATTACATACATGCTGATGTATTTGTGCAATACCTGTTAGTTTATTTTTTAATGTTGTCACCTTCTCCTTCATGTTTATTATCTTTAAGTAAAAGTGTTGTCATGTGATGAACCCTTTACCAATATGTGTGTGTTTCAGAGGAGCTGTGTGTTTCAGAGAAGAAGGTGTGTGTTTCAAATGAGCTTCCAAAGCCAGATCCAGGATTGTATATTCAATGCAATAATGATAATTTGGAGGAGGATGAGTACAACAGCTTGTGGTCCACCGCCTCGTCCTTTATCTTCCTCTTCCTCTTCTCTCTCGTCTACAGCACTGTCCTCAGCCTCTCTAAGGTAAAGACAGTCATAATGTTTTGAGAAAATGATGTGTACTTATTATGTGTACAGGGGCTGTATGACTTTGTGTCTGCAAATATGGACTTATTTTCTGGAAATGTTTATTAAGTATCGCTTTAAGTGACCAGCTCTGTCGAAATAATGATTCATCTTAATATGTTTGCATCAAAACTGCTTTCTGAGTTCACCATCCCATCAACATCATTCTGTTAAACGCTTTTATAAAGTAACCTCAAGAACTTCATTAAAGGTTGCTGGTGATTAAATAGTTGAAGTGTCCACTGCATGTGTGTAACGTCCATCTTTCTTATCTATGTTTTTCAGATAAAATAAAGATGAAGAATGATGTACAAATGAAGAAATTCAGTGAATGTTGTCTTCCATATTTCCTAAACTCTGTCTGTTTTCTGCTGATCTTTTCTGTTTTTAAATGTGTGAAAAGTGTGTTTCCTTTCATCCTAATTTAAGAATAAAACAAATGGCATATAAAATAACTTTTTTTGCATTGATTCAGTAAAGCGATAAAATATTCATGGATAATACTGAATTTATCATATATATATATATATATATATATATATATATATATATATATATATATATATATATATAAAACAGATAAATACAAACCAGAGGAAAGTAAACCTGACATAAAGTCCTATGTAAAAGTTAGGGCACCCCTGTTTATTTAGCTGAAATATATTGGGAAAAAATTAAACATAAAATGTGGTCTGTACAAGAGTTAAGGCACATTTTATATTTTATGTTTTATTTTTTTCCAATAGTTAAATATATAGTTGTTGTAGTTGTAGTATATAGTTGTTCCAAGTTAAGGCACAATCAGACCATTTGATGATGTTCAATCTCAATAAAAAAATAACATAACTTATTTATGAATTAAACACCTTTTTTTTTTTATTCGAGAAAATGTTTGAAACTTTTGTTTGAATTCAATTTCAATTTTAGTTTAACAGGATAATGTTTAATTTGCTAAATAGAAAATGAAATTATTTGTAATGATTATAGTTGTGATGTTATAGGTTAACATAAGAAAATATTATAATGAGGTAAAAAAAACATTACAAATTTAATCTAAATGTAAAATAAACAGTTATATAGGAAGTTTGGGTGGCTCTGGTCAATGTACTTTTTTTTTTAATTATCTAAGTGCAAATAAGTTTTCACATCCTCTACAGATAACACACTTCTGCACATTTTTATGTAAAATTATTTTTTATGTACTGAAATTCAGCATAACGTGGGGAAAATATAACATGAAATGTGGCCCATGCAAAAGTTATGCTACATTTTGTTTTTCAAACTCCCAAACAAATTCCCTGCAGAGGATATGTTAACTTATTTTCACTTAGCATATTAACAAAGCATATAATTTGAGAGGGGTTATCAAACTTTAGCATATGACTGTACTTCTCAATGAATTGTATCACTTCATACTTTTTAAAGGCAAGAAAACGGGTGCGGCCTTTCTAGAAAAGTCGTAAACTGATCTGTTCTGCTGCTGTGAGCACAAACAGGAAGTGAAAGAGAGCCTGAAAAGCAAGATGCTATATTTTGATCAACTCAGAGAACAGGTGTCAAAGCCGAACATCAACGATATTTCCATAAAACTTACTTTCTGTTCATGCATGCAGGAACAGAGACTACAACGGCAGATTATTTCTCAGCTACATGTCTTCAGATGGTTAGCTGGCAATTTAAAGCACAATAAATGCATATATATTCATTAAGATTAATGTAAAAAAAAAAGCTGTTTTTACTTTACATCCTGTTAATCAATGTTTTTAAAGAGAGGTTTAACTCCTTAAAATCACAGGCTTATTACATACTACGGCTTATTATTTCACAACTGCAGAGACTTCAGTGCAAACTGGCTTAGCTCTTCTTAGGTTATAGAAGTTTGTAATAAAACGTTTTATTTATGGAATTAATAATCATCTCTATCATACTGCACATGAAGACATCAGATGTAAAATAAATAAAATCTAAACATGACTGCAAAAAAGAGACCTCTCTGTTGATTCTCTCTATTTTTTCTGTGCCAACTTGTTGCACAAAGCAGAGGCTGTAAGGTTACCTTGTTTATTGAAGAACAACTACATTCATTAGACTCACTCCACTTCTTATGGTGCAAAACAAGCAAAGACATTTATGAAGTTATTATGATTATTGTGTCAATAGATATTAAATCAGCTTTTTTTTTCATTTGTTTTGAGAATTAACCTTTCTTTTACTTCAGGGATTTTGGGACTTATCTGATGTCCTATTTTAAGCTCTGTGTAATAAAAAGATTCTGGTTTTAAAATTCATTTGTTAAAAAAATAAACACTGTGAATAAAAAAATGCAAAGTAACATTATTGCCTTTATTGTTACAAAGTCATTTGAACATTTAAATCTTTCATGATTGACAACTGTGCTGTACACACAGTGGGGTTCAGATTACAAAAGCATAATGCATTAAGCATTGATGAAGAACGTTGCCACATCACTCATCTTCTGTTTTCAGGTCATCAGTCTTTGAATGTCAAAAGTAGGAAAAATAACGATGTTGTCCCCTTTACTCAATTAGCATTTTTTTCCTCTGAAATAATTCAATCAAGTCATATCCTTTTCAACTGTCCCTGCGCACAGACTCATGAGAAATGCAGTCTGTATACAGTTAGCACCGTTCATGTTCCTTTACTGTAGCACACTGAGCCTTTTCTAATGTTCAGCACTGATAATGATGGTTAAAAATGAGCGACCTGTTCTTATTCTCTTTCTTGCTCCACCTTAAATGATGCAGTATTACATTGAGATGCCTGTACTGGCACTAGCGTAGAACTGCTGCTCTATATAAGATTGAGGGAAATTCAAATGAGAAGCTAACATTAGCATATCAAATTCAGTGTGACGTTGTGAATCCGGTGCTGGCTGACAGACAGGCAGCTCTACAGAGTTCATTCCTTTCTTTTATTACCAATACAGCGATTTTCATTTGTGAATCCTGAAGATGGACAATCCCAAGAACAACAAAAAAACAAGGGGACATGGAGAATACCAGGATGAAAAAGACACTAAAGGAGGATGAGGACATATCCGAGCAGGTGGGCAGTAAGAAATTACTTTACTTAGCTAACAATAGCCTGTAGCATTTCATCACTAGCTAGCAATCTTGGTTATTTCAGTGTAGCATATAAATAATAAATAAGAAATAAAAGAGATGAAAATGTTACAGGAAGGGTGCGTGTGTGTGTGCGTGTGCGTGCATGTATGTGTGCGTGTGTGTGTGTGTGTGTGCGTGTGTGTGTGTGTGTGTGTGCATGTATGTGTGCGTGTGCGTGCATGTGTGTGTGCGTGTGTGTGTGTGTGTGTGTGCATGTGTGTGTGTGTGTGTGTGCGTGTGTGTGTGACAAAGAATGATAAATTGATAAAATCTACATGTATTCATTTGTTAAAGTGGGTGAAGTGCAGTTCTAGCCCTGTGATTGTGCTTTTCTCTCTCACTCTACCTCTCACACACACACACTCTCTCTCACTCTTGGTGCGATAGTGAGAGAGAGAGAGAGAGAGAAAGAGAGAGAGAGAGAAAGCTATGAGATTACAATGTAAAAAATCCACGAGTGCCTGAAATTTCTGTAAAACAGGTGATTTTTTTTTTTTTAATTTTACCTAGTTTTTACTATCTGCCCAATGACAGCTGGGATAGGCTTCAGCACCCCACCGTGACCCAGAAGGATAAGCGGTTTAGATGATGGATGGATGGATGGATAGTTTTTACTAACTCCAAATTAGTTCTTACAGTGTGCGTAAAAGTCACTGATTTAAATCCAGCCCAACCCGAGCAGCTGCTGTCCAGGAAAAACATGTTTATCTGATATTCAGTCGGGCTCGGGTCGCCCTGCTGACCTCGAACAATGTTTATCAGGACACTAAATGACCCGGATGGAATGCGCTGTTTCAGCGGATCTTTAATGTTTCAAATGTTGTTTCTTGTTTAATTTTAGGCCAGAAAAGTTTTACTGAATGACTGTTTAGCTTTTAAAATGTATAAAAACTGTAGATGAACTGTTCCTCTGTTAGCAGGACATCAGAGAGGAGAGTGTACACCCTTTAAAATAATGGTTCTTCAAGTGAATGGTTCTGTTCAGAACCATAAGTTCTATATAGAACCATTCCATGCTTAAATGGCTCATTGTATGGTGAAATCGTTCTTCAGATTGATGGAGAATGTGTTGTATATGGTTCTATATAGAACCTTTTTGAAAATGGTCCTATATAGCACCAAAATGGGTTCTGCTACTATTGCAAAACTTTTCCAAAAGTATTTACACATTAAATAAAAAAGTAGCAGCTGCACATTTTACAGGTTCATTAAAAATTCTGGGGGACGATTCCCAAAACAGTTCTACAATGAACTGGACTGAGCCCCGGATCTGTACATGTCCAGCCAGCGCTGCTGGATCTACTGAAGGGTTTATTAATGGATGGATATTAAAAAATTAAAAAAAAAAAAAACGTGGCCTGTTCAAAGTGCCCGGATTAACACAACATTACAGTGCAATGTTTAATTCAACAATTTAAAAATAATCCTTCATCAATGGAGATTCTTCATTTCTGTTTCACTGATTTTGTTCATTTATTTCAAATACAGTGTGATCTAAAATCATCAAACCAAAGAATTTAAAATCTTTTAAAATCCAAAATCATATCTCCAAAGAATTTATAACGTATTCAGATGTGCGATTCATCTCATCAATATTTCAGCCGAGCGTAAAGGGTTAGAAACCTAAAACTCAGGTAATGAACTATTTAACAGTAACTCTACTCTAAAGTTGGATTAATAACAGTAATAAATGCATTAAAATGTGGACTTATTTTCACTGCATCAACAAAACATGCTGACCAGGGGTGCCCAAACTTTTGCCTCAGGTCTATGATGAGCCTCAGTGTCTCTCAGTGTTCGGAATGAGCCCTTATTTTCAGCAAAGTCACTTTTAAAGGCTGCAGTTTCTCCGGATGTTGGTGCAATGAGAGCTCAAGAAATCTTTTAGAAAGGAGTTTCTTTTGTATCCAGTAACTAAAATATATCACAGTCTATGAATCCAAAACACTCTTAAGCTGCTCAGCCCATAAGCTTACACTCCTGTGCCAAAACAAATTGATCAAGCGCAAAATTGCAAAACATTAAGCTTTAAATGGTCTTAAAAAGAAAAAATGAAACAGATAAAGTAAATTAATATGGGATAATATTGCCTTTTTCTGCTCAGTATTGATGGCTTCCAGCAGTTGAAAAGCATTGCCGAGTTAGTTTGTGTCTAATATGAGGCCAAATTTTCTCTATAGGGCTTTGTTGTATATAACTGATGAATTAATTGGGTTTAATATTTCTATGTTACTTATTTATTATTTATTAAGTAGGTCTACATTTTTAGCCCATATTGTACTGTTGTATTGTGCGTTGATATTGAGCACAGCACTGGCTGTGAATGTGGTATTATACTGCATATGTGTTTCCTGTTTATGAACCTTAGGCCTCTCTCTCTCTCTCTCTCTCTCTCTCTCGCTCTCACTCACTCTCTCTCTCTCTCTCTCTCTCTCTCTCTCTCTCTCTCTCTCTCTCTCACTCACTCACTCTCTCTCTCTCTCTCTCTCTCTCTCTCTCAGCCTCTCAGTCCGCTCCCAGCGTTCCTTTCGTGGTGTCTCAGTGTTCTCCCTCTGATGATGGCTTCCTCACACTTGGCTGCCTTACGAGCGGGTTCTTTCCCACTGAGTCTCTCAGGTTCTCATGGACTGATGGCAGCAGCGGGGTGGTGAGTGACGCGGTCCAGTACCCGGCTGTGAAGGCGCAGGGCGACAAGTTCACTGCAGTGAGCCACGTGCGCGTCAAGCCTGTAGAGGGGAGGGCAAAAACATTGACGTGCCGAGTACAGCATCCCGCCGGACAACAAAGCAATGACATAACTGTGAGAGGTCAGTCTGACAAACTTTACAGGAGAAGGCAAAAATACTATTTGCTTTTGAAGTAAGGTATTGTAAAAAGATTGTCAGAGGTTAAAGTATTTGAGGTGATGACGGCAAAGTGCAAAGCAAAAATTACCATTTGACAACTTACTAAGCTGTGATTACATGGAGCATTATTGTCTCTGTCATGATGATTATCATTGACACTAACATGACACTGTTATATTACTGAAGAAAATCTGTCTTGACAAATCATGACAGGATATGATGTCTTCCATGACATGTTTCTGGCATGGTTATGTCAATGTTATGTAGCAGAGTTCAGGTAAAGTGTTACCCCTGTATCTTCTATTAGAGTAGGGAGTTGATATGGAGCTCTAGGCCGGATACTAAACTATAATTAACATGGATTGTTATATGCTGTTCATAATTCAGCTGTACAAATCATTGGAGCTTACAATGAAGCTTAAAGTTAGTCATATTGTTGTGGATAAGGGAAGAAATACATGCAATATGGATAAAATAGCAGTCAGTGTATCTGAAAGAATCTCCTGGAATATCTCATCCATGCCATCTAATGTAAGTGCATGCTTTGTATTGTTTAGTGTAGGTGTTTAGCCATTGAATTCAGTAGCACAATTTTCGCTTTTTCCTTTTATTGCCTTGTTTAGGGATCTCTCCACCAAAAATCCGTCTAGTGGAATATGGACAATCCATAATGTGTATCATTGAGGACTTCTACCCAAAGACCCTCAGTATCAAGTGGAAAAAGGATGACAGTGAAGTCAAAGGCCGGGACTGGAAAACCACAGAAAATGACTCAGGTTCTTACACAGCAGTCAGTGTCCTTGATGAAAATCTGGCATCTTCAAGTCCGGGTACCAAATACACCTGTGAAGTTACACATGGTGGCAAAAACTACCCAGAAAATCTGTCATCTAGAGGTAATCTAGTGTCATTATGGTTATGTAGGCATAATAACATTTGCAAAAAGATATATAATCATACAGTACTGTGCAAAACTCAAAGGCCTCCCTTCTATTTTTATTTTCTTGTGACATTCCCTTTTTAAATTATCTTAACTTAACTATCTATTATGGTTTCTCTACAGAAATATCTCCTTAAGAATGATCGTTTTACAAAACGATCATTTTGAATGGAAATGAAATGAATGAAGGGTTTTGGTTTCTGAATTTTGCACATTCCATTACATCCTTATGTAAAAATACCAATGCAATAAAAATAAATTTGTGACTATTTAAATTTGCCTTCCATATTAGAACTAATAATGTCTGGTTCTCCTTTTTTATATAGCTCAGTTCTCTCTGAAAATCCATCCACCGAAAGCAAAGGAGCTTTTCATAAACAAAAAAGCAGTAATCGACTGTGTCATAAATGGTGATAGTAGGAAGCAGGTGGAAGGAGCAGGAGTGTCATGGACAGTTGGAGGGAACCCAGCAACTCGTGATGTTCGTACTGGTAGTGTTACACAGGCAGGATCATCATTTACCAAAACTAGCACACTGACCCTTGAAGAGTCAAAATGGTTTTCAGGTACAGAAGTGATTTGCTCCACCTCAAGAGACCAAAGAACAATCTCTGACAAAATTACTGTTAAAAAAGGAGGTGAGTCTTTTATTGCTGGAGTCAAATCTTCTTAGACCATATTAAAACACTTCTTCTGAAATGTGTGTATCTTCTATCTTGTATCATCTAATTTAAATATGATCTTTTCCCATGTAGGACAACGTCCCTCTATTATCATTTACAAGCCGGATAAGACTGTCAGTGATTCTGACTCGGTGTCCCTGGTTTGTGAGGTCAGCAGCTCTGATCTGGCAAATGTCTACATCATGTGGCAAGTGAACAATGGTCAGTACATAGAAGGCAACAGCATGGCCACCATCAAAAATGACAAGATACTGATTGTCCTCAGCTACTTAACCGTGACTGGACAGCAGTACAACAGTGCAGAAATCACTTGTGCAGTCAAAGATGCCAACATGCAGAATGACTTCCAGCCGAGAACGAGCTCACCATCTAAGAGTAAAGTCACCTCTCATTAATTTCCTTATATAACTTGCTGCTTTTCTCTTTTATTCCACAATATTACCCCAGACATGTTTGCTGTCTGAAGTTTGCATCTTTAATAAAAGACATAGAGCAAATAATACAAGTTACATTAGTTTGATGATGACTAACTAGAGCACAGAGTAAAAATTACTATGTGACATAAGCTGTACAAACAGCAAACTTAATGGCATCTGTCATAACAGTTACTAGTAATGGAAACACTCTGGATATAACTCAGGATATAACACCACCCTTTACATGTTTCTTGTGTGGTTTACTTACTATGGAGCTTAGTCATATTGCTGTGGGTAAAGGTACCTGTAATACTGTAAAGAAATACCTGTAATACTGATGATATGGCCGTCAATTTATCTAAAAGAATCTCCTTTTTACCGCAGTTAAATTAAGAATTTTTTTTTTTTTATAGCAAGCTCTCCACCAACTATCCGTCTGGTGGAATTTGGCCAATCCATTATGTGTATCATTGAGGACTTCTACCCAAAGGCTTTGACTATAAAATGGAAAAAGGATGACCGTGAAGTCAAAGGCCGGGACTGGAAAACCACAGAAAATGACTCGGGTTCTTACAGAGCGGTCAGTGTCCTCGAAGCGAATCTGATGTCTTCGAGCCCGGGAACCAAATACACCTGTGAAGTCACACATGAGACCAAAACTTACTCAGATAATCTGGCATATAGAGGTAATCTTGTGCCGTCATGGTTATGTAGGTATAATAACAATGAAATACACAGAAATATAAGTATACAGTACTGAGCAAAACTCAGAGACCACCGTTAATTTATTTAATTTCTAGTGAAAAAAGTCAGTAACCAGTAAGTTATTCTTTTTTTTCAGTGTCAGGAGAAAAAGCAAAAAACAAAAAAATGTATTCATATAAAACCTAATTCTTTTCTCACTAAGAACTTTTTGTAAGTTGCTTACTTTTTGGATTTTCCCCTCTCTCTTAAAGATGAAAGCTACTGTTTATCTGATGGGGACAGTTTTCCCGGTTTGCCATGTGTCGCACAGTTTTTGATTGAGATTATCTTATATCTAATCTCTTCAGAAATGTCTCCAGAAAAGTTAATTACTTAATGGTCATTTTGACAAGAAATGGGACAAATAAAGGGTGTTTTGCACAGTATCAATATGTAAAGATATCAATGTACCCAAAGTGAGTTGATGTATAATTCTATTTAACTTTGTTTTCATTATGAATATCAGTAATGTGCATTTTTTCCTTGTTTATAGCTAACTTCTATTTGAAAATCAATCCACCACAAGCAAAGGACCTGTTTCTAAACAAAAAAGCAGTAATCGAGTGTGTCATAACTGGTGATAATCAGAAGGAGGTGGAAGGAGCAACAGTGTCATGGACAGTTGGAGGGAACCCACCAACTGGTGGTGTTCAGAATGGCACTGTTACACAGACAGAATCATCATTTACCAAAACTAGCACACTGAACCTTGAAGAGTCAAAATGGTTTTCAGGTAGTGAAGTGATTTGCTCCACCACAAGAGACCAAATAACAACCTCTGACAAAATCAGTGTTAAAAAAGGAGGTGAGTCTTTTATTGCTGGAGTCAAATCTTCTTAGACCATATTAAAACACTTCTTCTGAAATGTGTGTATCTCTATCTTGTATCGTCTAATTTAAATATGATCTTTTCCCATGTAGGACAACGTCCCTCTATTATCATTTACAAGCCTGATATGTCTGTCAGGGACTCTGACACGGGCTCTTTGGTTTGTATGGTCAGCAGCTCTGATCTCGGGAATGTCTACATCATGTGGCAAGTGAACGACGGTCAATTTACAGAAGGCAACAGCACGGCCACTATCATCAAAAAAGACAACACATCGATTGTCCTCAGCTACTTAACCGTGACTGGAAAGGATTATAATAATGCAAAATTCACTTGTGCTGTCAAAGATGCCAACATGAAGAATGAAATCCAGCCAAGACAAAACACAACATCTACCAGTAAAGTCAACTGTCCTCATCCTGATGCGTCAGATCGTCGCTGAGCGTCCTCTCAGACCAAGATGGTCAGGAAGCATCACTGCAGCTGTATCTGGCTGATTGAGATGCTTCCTCTAGTTCATCTAAATGGTCTGAGATGCTGTTTGTCGTGATGCCTCCTTTGTGTTTTGCATCTGTGTTTACCTTTGTGCTTTTTGTTTGCAATATGTAGCTGCATGGGCCATGTTCTAAATCTAATCAATCTAAAACGCTGTTATTATGCACATAACCACATGACCTTGATGCAATAATGAAAATGATTGAAAAAAAATATAAAATCTGTCCTTACACTGTACACACTGGCCTCTGCATGTCTCACTGTGTTCTGTGTCTTGGATGGACGTTGTTGTGCTCTGCCTTTTGCTTTGTCTGTTTTTGTTCATGATCTGCTTGTGTTCACTGTAATGTGGAAGTTTAGATTATACTTGATTAAATTTTCCCAAAATGTGATGGGATACTGTTAGAATTGACCCTCAGAAATATGAACCTATTTTTACATATGCATATATTATTATTATTGCAACTCTTTAAACAATAAATCAGCCTAATTGCATTTGACATCATTTAGTCCATCTTTCATTTGATAGTTTTATGAACCTTTATTTTGCCATCTATGATTCATTTGTGACCAACATCTTGTAATGAACTTGTAAGAACTTAGAAGTATCGATTCACATAACAATCCATACATGACTATGTAGATCAGCATTATTAGAGCAGTAAGGGAGGAGGCCCAGCAAACGGAAGGTTGTGGGCTCAAGTCCCAGAACAGCATAGTCTGGGCTGTGCCCCTGGGCAAGACTCCCAACTCCCTCCTGTCTCTGCAGCCAAGAATGGGTAGACTAGATTCGTTAGAGAGCAAAATGACCAATTTGACTTGTATTCCATTCAATTCAACTTTATTTTCACTGTATATATGCTTGGTCAGTTTAACCAAACACACTCAGGGCACTTCTCTGGTGCATAGATATTAAGACAAAATGAGTGCAGTTTAGTTTAAAAAAATGTAAACACATCAAAAATGTTTTCTATATTATCTGATATTACTCTCATGTCTAAGATCACTATTTGTCTTGTATTGTTCTGTTTAATGTACTTATTATGAACAACGTTCAGTAACACATTATATACACATGCTGATACATTTGTACAATACTTGTTAGTTAGTGTTTTGATGTTGTCACCTTCTCCGTCATGGTTGTTATCTATACATAAAATTCTTGTCATGTGATACACCATTTACAAATGTGTGTGTGTGTGTGTGTGTGTGTTTCAGTGGAGCTTCCAAAGCCAGATCCAGGATTGTATATACAATGCAATAATGATATTTCGGAGGAGGACGAGTTCAACAGCCTGTGGTCCACCGCCTCGTCCTTCATCTTCCTCTTCCTCTTCTCTCTCATCTACAGCACTGTCCTCAGCCTCTCCAAGGTAAAGATATTCATAATGTTTTGAAAAAATCATGTTATTAACGTTCACTTTTTTCTTATTGTGTGTACAGTGGCCCCTTGAATGACTTTGCATCTCCACTTGTTGACTTATTTACGAAAAATGTTTACGTATTATCTTGTGAAAGTGACGTACTATGTTGAAATAATGACTTATTTTCCCACAATATTGACTCACTAATGTCTTACATTTTTAAGATATTGACTTGTTATCTCATAATAATGACGTACTATGTTTACTGTGTCCAATGTGCTGACTCATTCTTTGTTCTTCATTAAAGTTCACCAGTGGTTAAATGGTTGAAGTGTCTGGATACTTTCTGGAGCCACTGCATGTGTGTAACCTCTCTCTTTCTTATCTGTGTTTTTCAGATGAAATGATGATGAAGGGAGCACAATTGGAGAAATTCAGTAAATGTTGTCTTCCATATTTCCTAAAATCTGTTTTCTGCTGATCTTTTTTTGTGTTTTTAAATGTGTGAGTGAAGATGTTACTCTTGTTCTTTCATTCTAATTTAAGACTGAAATAAACGACAAATAAAAGTACTTTTGCATTCATTTAAAGCAACACAATATTCATGGATTATGCTGAATTTATCTTTTATTAAAAACTTAAAGGGGCTTGTATATGTGTGGACAAAATGTGTAGAAAGAAGAACAAGCATGAATACACTGAACTCTCAACATACATTCATATGCATAAGTTTGAGCGCCAGTGTTTATTTGCTAAATTGAACACACACACACACACACACACACACACACACACACACACACACACACACACACCATCTAAACCGCTTATCCTTCTGGGTCGCGTTGGGGTGCTGAAGCCTATCCCAGCTGTCATTGGGTGGAAGGACTAAATTTAACATATTGGAAAAAATATAAAACATGGCATGTGTAAAAGATATTGCACATTTTATGTTTTACATTCTAGTCTTCATTTCTTTTTCACTTTTTTGATATAACTTGATGTATAATTAGACCATTTGAGTATGATTGATGATAAATTTGAACCCAAACTATTTGTGTATTTTTTGAGACCTTTTTTTTATATTTTATTTTAATATTAGTGTTTTAATTTACTAAATGATAAATACAGTTACTGATAATGGTCACAGTTATGATGTTATAGGCTTTAATATGAACAGTGACATGGGAAATTTTGGGCGCACCTTGTCAATTGAAATGTTTTGTTGATTTTTTATATGAAAATACATTTTTTAAATGTCAAATCTATAAAAAAAAAAAAGTGAGTAAACTGGCGGTTTTAAATGTTAAAGTTCATTGAACCTCTAATAGTCAGTTAGCAGAACAGTTACTGTGTGTTATTTTCTCTGAACTCATTATTTGTAGTTCAGTCATATTGAAAAGTTTAAGGCAGCAGGTCACTTATTTTATTTTACTAACTCCAAATTAGTTTTTACAGTCTGCATAAAAATCACCGATTTAAATGCAGCCCAACCCGAGCAGCTGCTGTCCGGGAAAAACATGTTTATCTGATATTCAGTCGGGCTCGGGTTGCCCTGCTGACCTCGAACAATGTTTATCAGGACACTAAATGACCCGGATGGAATGCGCTGTTTCAGCAGATCTTTAATGTTTCAAATGTTGTTTCTTGTTTAATTTTAGGCCAGAAAAGTTTTACTGAATGACTGTTCAGCTTTTAAAATGTATAAAAACTGTAGATGAACTGTTCCTCTGTTAGCAGGACATCAGAGAGGAGAGTGTAGAATAGACTGATGTGGAGAGAGAAAATCAAAAAATGGCACATTTTTTTCATTTTCTGTTACAAACAGTGATTCATTCTTTTCATTTTCTTTTTTACGATTGTGTTTATAAGACACACCGAACAGCACTGCTGCTGTTGATGTGTGAATCATCACATTAAATAAAAAAGTAGCACATTTTACAGGTTCATTGAAAAAATTCTGGGGGGCGGTTCTACAATGAACTGGACTGAGCCCCGGATTTTTACATGTCCAGACAACAGCGCTGTATATATTTACATGGTGTGATGATTGGGTTGCCCAAACCTTTGTATATGACACGCACATCTAATAACTAATGATATCTTTTTTTTACGCCGTGTTAGCATGTCTTGTAATATCTGTTATGTTTTAATGTGAGTTTCTAACATAAAGATCAGTCGTCAGGATTGAGTGAGCGGGTAAAAGACCTAAATCTCAAATAGCCCTACTGTTTTATTGCATTATTGTAAATGTACCATTGGATTCGGACAGATTCGCTTGTAGTGTCCGAAAACCACATCCTAGCTCCATTTTCTGCAAAATCACTTTTAAAGACTAAATTTCTGGATCTTAAAGATGTTGGACTGACGACGATTTTTAAACGAAGTAAGTGAAATGTATTACATTCAGTTTTTACAAGACATATTCATATTTATTTTGCCTTCACCTAATTTAAAATGCTTATTGTCACTGGGGTATGAATGTATGTATGTATGTATGTATGTATGTATACTACTTTTTACTACGTTAACAAAAGCATTTTTGTTTATTTGTGTGTTTTACAGGTACTCCGACCCCTCCCAAATCTCTCTTCAGTGTGTCTGCGTGCGCGCCCTCCTCTGATGGCTTCCTCACTGTCGGCTGCGTCGCGAGCGGTTTCTCTCCCGCCGAGCCGCTCAAGTTCAAGTGGACCGGCGGCGTCACTGACGTGATGCAGTACCCGGCTGCACAGCAGGGTGGCACCTATACAGCGGTGAGCCACGGGCGCGTTAAGGCCACTGACTGGAACGCGGAGAAGCCGTTCACGTGTCAGGCGGAACATCCGGGAAAATCAACACCCACTGAGAGCATCGTGAAAAAGAAAGGTAGGCGCATGTAGGGGTCAGAGATCAGCACTGCATGGACACAACCCGCAGTAGAATGCAAAAGCTTGAACAGGCGCGGTGAAATTTTGTGTTGATTTTCGAAGTAAAACTAAACTAACGCATAACTCGCTCAAATATGACATTTTTCTGCGAAATTTACAACACTATTTCCAGTTATTTCCTGAATTTAACTTAGTGAAAAAAATATAAACGTGCCGTATTTTTTGCACATGCCACATTTTACGTTTTATTATTTTTTTCCCATTATTATGTATTCAGCAAACAAACCGTAACGGTGTATTAGATTGTGCAGCAGTGTGTTTTTTGTAGTGGATGAGTTCACGTATTTTCACGTAGAAAATCAACAAAACATGGAATGGAATGGAATGACTTCATATAGATGAATTCTACAGCTGGACAGACGCAAACTCAGAAAAACAATTTTACATTTTATTTATTTAAAATAATCGATTAGATGTTGTAAATAAAAAGTCCTTAGTAATATGTGAAAAATCTGACTACATTTGACTAAAAATGTAGAGTATTTTTTTTCAATGAACTAAGAGTGTTAACTATTTAGACATATGGCCTTGTTTTCAAATAAGCTAAGGATAAAAAGATACAATCCAAAAATTATTAATGTGATTAAAGGTAGAATTCCACCAATTTTCATTTTAATTAAATTGTTGTAAACAAAGTCAGTCAGAGTGGTTTGATGATGGTGGTTTTTGGAGAAACCTTTCCAAAATCACCACGTAACCCACACAAGTTGTTATATATGATGTTGCTATAGGTACTACAGTAGTAAACATACATCGACCTTTTTAAAATGTTTTACATGTGTGTTTTATCTCAAAACAACAACTAGACACCAGGCAGTGATTGTAATTATTTCATAAAATAACTTCCTGTGAGGGAGCTTTTCGAGCCATTAAACTCTTCAGTCCTCTGGCTCCTGTCACCACTACTGTGATCAATTCTGATTCGTTATGTTTCTCCAGAACTGAGCATTTCACATCAAATGCCTTTGTTTGCATCATAATAATTTACATTTGCAGAAATCTTTAAAATTGCTGGAAGTTACGCCAGTGGTTTTAATTTATACATTTAAAATGTAGTTCATTAACTTGCTATAAATCAATGGGGTTACAATTACATTTCCAGTGGAGCTCAGTTACATTTCAGAGGATAAGAGCAGAAATACCTGCAATATAAATACTGTGCCAGTTAATATTTTTGAAATAAGTCCCTGGAATATTTAGTGCTTATCACTGCATTTAAGTGTCCATTGTGTTTGATTATTAAGTCATTGGTTATAACCACTAAGGATCTAGCAGTTAAACTGTGCATTTTTATTTTATTTCTTACAGGAAGCAAATCACCATCTCTCAGTCTTGTGAAAGCTGCCCAGTATGTTATGTGTGTCATTGAGGACTTTTACCCAAAGGACCTCACTATCACGTGGAAGGAGGACAGCCGTGAACTTAAAGGCCTGAAAGCAGCAGATGTAAGAAATGCCCAAGGCAATTATGATACCTACAGTTTACTGAAAGTAGACCAGACAACAACAAACAAGGACACAACATACACCTGTGAAGTTGCACATCAGACCGGACCAAATAGAATTGTAAAGTCGTTTGGAGGTATAGTAATGTCTTGATGTTTATGTTGTCATAATAACAATTTAAGATCAGAAAAATATAGCAACATAGATTTCAATGCAAAGTCTATTAAACTATTGTTCTATTTAAATTTACTTTCCTCAATTAGTGTGTTTTTTTTTCATGTAGCTCAGTTCTCTCTGAAAATCAATCCACCACAAGCAAAGGACCTGTTTCTAAACAAAAAAGCAGTAATCGAGTGTGTCATAACTGGTGATAATAAGAAGGAGGTGGAAGGAGCAACAGTGTCATGGACAGTTGGAGGCCAGAACCCAGCAATTCGTGATGTTCGTACTGGTGGTGTTACACAGACAGGATCATCATTTACCAAAACTAGCACACTGACCCTTGAAGAGTCCGACTGGTTTTCAGGTACAGAAGTGATTTGCTCCACCTCAAAAGACCAAACACCAATCTCTGACAAAATTAGTGTTAAAAAAGGAGGTGAGTCTTTTATTGCTGGAGTCAAATCTTCTTAGACCATATTAAAACACTTCTTCTGAAATGTGTGTATCTCTATCTTGTATCGTCTAATTTAAATATGATCTTTTCCCATGTAGGACAACGTCCCTCTATTATCATTTACAAGCCGGATAAGACTGTCAGTGACTCTGACTCAGTGTCCCTGGTTTGTGAGGTCAGCAGCTCTGATCTGACAAATGTCTACATCATGTGGCAAGTGAACGGTGGTCAGTACATAGAAGGCAACAGCATGGCCACCATCGTCAAAAAGGACAACACACTGATGGTCCTCAGCTACTTAACCGTGACTGGACAGCAGTACAACAGTGCAGAAATCACTTGTGCAGTCAAAGACGCCAACATGCAGAATGACCTCCAGCCGAGAACGAGCTCACCATCTAAGAGTAAAGTCACCTCTCATCAATTTCCTAATATAACTTGTAGCTATGACTGTTTTCAGACCAGGACTCAATTTTCTTCTTTACTGCACACAATCAGCCAAGATGGTTGTTGTCTGAATTTGCTTCTTTAGCAACACATGCATCAGATGAAGTCTGATGATGGATAACTAGAGCACACAGCATAATTTACCATGTGACATAAGCCGTATATACATCAAACGTTACGGCATCTGCCACAACAATTACTGGTAATGAAAACATGACATGACACTGTTATACTAAAAAAATCTGTCTTAATGACTAAAAGACAGGATATGACATATTCCATGACATGTTTCTGGCATGGTTATGTCAACGTTATGTAGCAGAGTTCTAGTAAAGTGTTACACTTGTATCTTCTATTAGAGTAGGGAGTTGATACAGAGCTTTAGGCCTACGTCTACAGAATGAATAACATGGATTGTTAAATGTTGTTTATTATTCAGCTGTACAAATCATTGGAGCTCACAGTGGAATTTAAAGTTAGTGATATTGCTGTGGACAAAGATACAAATACATGCATTATGCATAGCATTGCAATCAGTATATCTGACTGTTTTCCCACAGAGTTAAATTAAGCAATTTTTTTCTTTATTTCACAGCAAGCTCTCCACCAACTATCCGTCTGGTGGAATTTGGCCAATCCATTATGTGTATCATTGAGGACTTCTACCCAAAGGCTTTGACAATAAAATGGAAAAAGGATGACCGTGAAGTCAAAGGCCGGGACTGGAAAACCACAGAAAATGACTCGGGTTCTTACAGAGCGGTCAGTGTCCTCGAAGCGAATCTGATGTCTTCGAGCCCGGGAACCAAATACACCTGTGAAGTCACACATGAGACCAAAACTTACTCAGATAATCTGGCATATAGAGGTAATCTTGTGCCGTCATGGTTATGTAGGTATAATAACAATGAAATACACAGAAATATAAGTATACAGTACTGAGCAAAACTCAGAGACCACCGTTAATTTATTTAATTTCTAGTGAAAAAAGTCAGTAACCAGTAAGTTATTCTTTATTTTCAGTGTCAGGAGAAAAAGCAAAAAACAAAAAATGTATTTAAATAAAACCTAATTTTTTTCTCACTAAGAACTTTTTGTAAGTTGCTTACTTTGTCAGACCCATAGCGTTGAGTTGTCTTTCCACTGTGGATAGCATGTATAATTAAAAAAAAACAAAAAAAAAAAAACGGATTTTCCCCTCTTTCTTAAAGATGAAAGCTACTGTTTATCTGATGGGGACAGTTTTCCTGGTTTGCCATTTGTTGCACAGTTTTTGATAGTCTCATTTTTTCTGTATCTTTTATTAATAGTTTGAACTCCATTTTTGGAAACTTTGTTTTTTGCACTGATTTTCCTTTAAATTTCTGCTTTATTATGCAAGTAGATTATCCTATATCTAATCTCTTCAGAAATGTCTCCAGAAACGTTAATTACTTAATGGTCATTTTGACAAGAAATGGGACAAAAAAAGGGTGTTTTGCACAGTATCAATATGTAAAGATATCAATGTACCCAAAGTGAGTTGATGTATAATTCTATTTAACTTTGTTTTCATTATGAATATTAGTAATGTGCATTTTTCCTTTTTATAGCTAACTTCTATTTGAAAATCAATCCACCACAAGCAAAGGACCTGTTTATACATAAAAAAGCAGTAATCGACTGTGTCATAAATGGTGATAATCAGAAGGAGGTGCAAGAAGCAGGAGTGTCATGGACAGTTGGAGGCCAGAACCCAGCAACTCGTGATGTTCGTACTGGTAGTGTTACACAGACAGGATCATCATTTACCAAAACTAGCACACTGACCCTTGAAGAGTCAAAATGGTTTTCAGGTAGTGAAGTGAACTGCTCCACCTCAAGAGACCAAAGAACAATCTCTGACAAAATTAGTGTTAAAAAAGGAGGTGAGTCTTTTATTTCTGGAGTCAAATCTTCTTAGACCATATTAAAACACTTCTTCTGAAATGTGTGTACCTTCTTTCTTGTATTGTCTAATTTAAATATGATCTTTTCCCATGTAGGACAACGTCCCTCTATTATCATTTACAAGCCTGAGAAGTCTGTCAGTGATTCTGACATGGTGTCCCTGGTTTGTGAGGTCAGCAGCTCTGATCTGGCAAATGTCTACATCATGTGGCAAGTGAACGGTGGTCAGTACAAAGAAGGCAACAGCATGACCACCATCATCAAAAAGGATAACACAGTGATGGTCCTCAGCTACTTAACTGTGACTGGACAGCAGTACAACAGTGCAGAAATCACTTGTGCTGTCAAAGATGCCAACTTGCAGAATGACCTCCAGCCGAGAACGAGCTCACCATCTAAGAGTAAAGTCACCTCTCATTAATTTCCTAATATAACTTGTAGCTATGACTGTTTTCAGACCAGGACTCAATTTTCTTCTTTACTGCACACAATCAGCCAAGATGGTTGTTGTCTGAATTTGCTTCTTTAGCAACAGATGCATCAGATCAAGTCTGATGATGGATAACTAGAGCACACAGCATAATTTACTATGTGACATAAGCCGTATATACATCAAACGTTACGGCATCTGCCACAACAATACGGTAATGAAACATGACATGACACTGTTATACTGAAAAAAATATGTCTTAATAACTAAAGATAGGATATGACATCTTCCATGACATGTTTCTGGCATGGTTATGTCAACGTTATGTAGCAGAGTTCTAGTAAAGTGTTACACTTGTATCTTCTATTAGAGTAGGGAGTTGATACAGAGCTTTAGGCCTACGTCTACAGAATGAATAACATGGATTGTTAAATGTTGTTTATTATTCAGCTGTACAAATCATTGGAGCTCACAGTGGAATTTAAAGTTAGTGATATTGCTGTGGACAAAGATACAAATACATGCATTATGCATAGCATTGCAATCAGTATATCTGACTGTTTTCCCACAGAGTTAAATGAAGCAATTTTTTTCTTTATTTCACAGCAAACTCTCCACCAAAAATCCGTCTGGTGGAATTTGGCCAATCCATTATGTGTATCATTGAGGACTTCTACCCAAAGGCTTTGACAATAAAGTGGAAAAAGGATGACCGTGAAGTCAGAGGCCGGGACTGGAAAACCACAGAAAATGACTCGGGTTCTTACAGAGCGGTCAGTGTCCTCGATGAAAATCTGGCATCCTCGAGTCCGGGAACCAAATACACCTGTGAAGTCACACATGGGGAGCAAAACATACTCAGATAATCTGGCATATAGAGGTAATCTTGTGCCGTCATGGTTATGTAGGTATAATAACAATGAAATACACAGAAATATAAGTATACAGTACTGAGCAAAACTCAGAGACCACCGTTAATTTATTTAATTTCTAGTGAAAAAAGTCAGTAACCAGTAAGTTATTCTTTATTTTCAGTGTCAGGAGAAAAAGCAAAAAACAAAAAAATTTATTCATATAAAACCTAATTCTTTTCTCACTAAGAACTTTTTGTAAATTGCTTACTTTTTGGATTTTCCCCTCTCTCTTAAAGATGAAAGCTACTGTTTATCTGATGGGGACAGTTTTCCTGGTTTGCCATTTGTTGCACAGTTTTTGATAGTCTCATTTTTTCTGTATCTTTTATTAATAGTTTGAACTCCATTTTTGGAAACTTTGTTTTTTGCACTTATTTTCCTTTAAATTTCTGCTTTATTATGCAAGTAGATTATCCTATATCTAATCTCTTCAGAAATGTCTCCAGAAAAGTTAATTACTTAATGGTCATTTTGACAAGAAATGGGACAAATAAAGGGTGTTTTGCACAGTATCAATATGTAAAGATATCAATGTACCCAAAGTGAGTTGATGTATAATTCTATTTAACTTTGTTTTCATTATGAATATTAGTAATGTGCATTTTTTCCTTGTTTATAGCTAACTTCTATTTGAAAATCAATCCACCACAAGCAAAGGACCTGTTTATACATAAAAAAGCAGTAATCGAGTGTGTCATAACTGGTGATAATAAGAAGGAGGTGCAAGAAGCAACAGTGTCATGGACAGTTGGAGGGAACCCACCAACTGGTGGTGTTCAGAATGGCACTGTTAAACAGACAGAATCATCATTTACCAAA